AGTAGTAGTAGTAGTAGTAGTAGTAGTAGTAGTTGTAGTAGTAGTAGTAGTAGTAGTAGTAGTAGTAGTAGTAGTACTACTACTACTACGAAGGCTTTGAGATCTGCCTGGCTTGGTGGTACAGGTCGGCCATTCCTCGGGAGAAGCTGCATCGTCCATTTCGGGAACACCTACCCGACAATCCGTCGCCCAGCTTCATGTTTTTTGCCCGCCATCTGGTCCGTCGCCACATGCAGATGCTGGAATGGATACCTGACCCCTCGTGCATGTCCCACGACGCGCGGGCGGCACTCGTCTCCGCGGATATCCATCGCTCGTCCACTGCCTGCACCTAATCCGCTGCTGATTTCCCCTGGCTCCCCGTGGGAAGGTCTAGATGTTGACCCGTTGCCCGCGGGGTTGCGCTCGCTGACGTCCTCCTCTCCTTCGTTCGAATACAACGCCAACGGCAGCTGCCTCGGCCCCACGGTGGATTACCCGTCGCCGACCGATGCGGACCTTGCCGCCATGGACGCCATCGACGACGACGAAAACGGCCGCGGCGGATCCCCCCCCCGGCGACGGCGATTACATGTCCGATCACGAGTGCGACCTCATTGTCGACCCTGGTGCCCGCCCTCCCGTCCCATGGGACCGCCCTGGGCACGCTCCCCCGCCGCAGGCGCCCACCCCGCGCGCCCCATGGCCAGCGGGCAGCTCATCTGACCCAGCGCCGCCTGGTGGTGATGCTGATACTCTCGCCTGGCTTGGGCCTTCGTCTGTCGCTGTTGGCGCGACGCTGCCGAGTGTCAATGGCACACCTGGTGATGCTCTCGCCCTGTCACTCTTGCCGCGCTGCAAGGTGCCCTTGATGCGCTCGATCGTGGAGCTGGGGTACCTGCTTCGTGCCTTCCCGGTTCTGACGGTGGACCTGATGACTTTGGTGATGATGTGGATCCCGACTACCTGGAGCTGGTGGCGATGCAGGAAATGGCGGAGGAACAGGACGGCTATGCTATCGGCTCTTCAGAGCAGTAGATCATTGGACCACCCACAAGGTCTTGCACCTACCTGGCAGCTGCGGATCGTGAGCCGCCTTCCTCGGCTCGGCGTCGTGGTCACACGTGCAGGTGCCGCTCCCGGAGCTAATGTGCGTCGCGTGAGCCATGTGGACGGCGCTCAGGACACTGGTGCACTGGCAGCAGTGGCCACGCGTGCTGCGTGATATATTTGCGGCGCGCAGAGGCGGCCTCGCCGCACTCCCTGCCTCGATCAAAGCTGGTGCTGCGCCATTCTGGCGCTCGCCGGCGCTCGCTTGCCGCGCGGGAGAGCGCGGCGCCCGCGTTTTCCCGCTCGACACCTGACCAGGTGGCGTCGCAGGCCCCGATGGCGCCCTCGGCTCTCACCACCCACCAACCCACCCCAACCCAACCCGAAGGCTCAGATTCACCGTCGATTTCCAGTGGGGGGGGGGTCGGGAAACATCGAAAAAACACATGTGGAACCCTTACCCCCCCCAACCCGAAATTCGGGTCTTCGGGTTGGGTTGGGGTGGTCTGGTAGGCAGTCAGGCTCGGCCCGGCGCGAGGCCGCCACCGCGCGGAATGAGGGGAGCGTTGCCACCCGCATCTGAGCCCAGCGTCTCGTGCTGCTGCTGTTCAGGTTGCCCACGCTGCACGTCTGGTCCCGGCCGTTTGGAGTGAGCAGGCCGCCCAGGACACGCTCACGGCAGCTTGCAGCTTGCTCGGTGTCCGCCCGATCGTGATCGGGCTTTCGGTGGCCATTGGTACGTGCCGGTCAGAAGGGTGTCGCGCAGAACAGGGGACTCTTCTTTCGCTTTCCCTGAGCTCACCTCTTCGACGTCGCGGCCCCGACCCTTCTCGCGGGGCTTTCGAAATCTGTTTCCCAGACAGAGCTCGCGTCTATGCGTGTGGCATCCGCCTGGCCCTGTCTCACGGAGAAGCCAGCTCCTAGCCGGCAAGCAGTCCACAGTACGTTTGTACGGACAATATTAGGCGCGTCGGCCACCTCGTACAGGCTCCCCGTGGCCACGCAGCTGCGTTTGTTCGGGTGCCCCGGTGATTGTCACGGCCAGGCGCACTACTGTCATTGTGGACAGCTTTGGGAGCTGATGCCGCCTCCTGGCCCGGCCCCCTCCTGGCGGAATCCCTTGTCCGTGCCCCTGGAATCTGTGCCCGCAAAGCTGGGTGATGAACTGATCGGTCGTCTCGTGCTGCTTTTCCACGTGTGCAGCTATTGGCGTGACCTGTGGCTTCGCGGGCGTGGCGGACTTGCAGGCGGTTGTGCAGATCGTACATGTCTCAGGTGTGCTCGCATCCAGCTGGCTCTGGCCACTCCCCGAGCCCGCTTCATTCAGTTTTGCCGCCGTGCCCCAGCGTAATTCATGAGTCGGCCTCTGGACGGGCCATGAGGCCTCTTCCTCATTTTTGGTCATTCTAAATGCCCCCTCCCTGTCGCACCCCGAGGCAGGTCAGAAGGGCGGGTTGGGCGTTTCGCGTCAGACTTCGCTACCATTTATGACCCTGAAGCTTCAAAGCTGGCAACACTTTCACAGGTGGAGGGTGGGTTGTTTTCAACATGTGGTTCTTGCTTTCTAGCGCCGCGCGCATTCGTTTCAAACGCTTGCAAAAGTGTCACGGATGGAGGGCGGTTCCTTTTCAACGTGTGGTTTATCGCTTTAGCGCCGCGCGCATTTGGTCAACGAAGTCGCAAGGGCTTCAAGGATGGATGGCGTTTCCTTTCGAAAATGGGGCTCTCGCTTTGTCGCCTCGCGCACTCGTTGAACCAAGCAAGAGTTTCACAGATGGAGGGCGGTTCGTTTTCAACATGTGGCTCTCGTTTGAGCGCCGCGCGCATTCGTGGGTTACCAATATGAACGAGTTTTACGGGTTCTCATGGTTATCGTACCAGCGATGTAGAATTGTCAGGGCGCAACAATTACGTTGATTCGCGGTGTTGGGGTCCCGCGAATGGTGGTCTGACGCGATTTAGGATCGCCAAAACGCAACAGTAAGGTTATTCGGTGCGTGTCTCGAGAATGGTTCTGGCGCGGTTCAGGATGTTCAAACGGTCGTCTCCCAACGGGGCCTTCCCGTCAGTGGGAATGGATCCTTCTAGGGACCTACGAAGAGGGAGCTCGGAAGGAGGGTGCATTGCAGCATGGTTAATGGGTCTCGGACTTACACTGGTCCTCCTCATTCACCTCCTCCTCCTCCTCCTCCTCCTCCCTCCTCCCTCTTCTCTCCTCCCTCCTCCCTCCTCCCTCCTCCCCCCCCCTCCCCTCCTCCTCCTCTTCCGTCCTCCCCTCCTCCTCCCTCCTCCCCCGTCCTCCCTTCCTCCTCCTCCTCCTCCTCCTCCTCCTCCTCCTCCTCCTCTCTCCTTGTCGTCCTCCTCTCCTCCTCTTCCTCCTCCTCATCCCTCCTCCTCTCCCCTCCTCCTCCTCCTCCTCCTCCCTCCTCCTCCTCTCCCTCCTCCCTCCTCCTCCTCCTCCCTCTCCTCCTCCTTTGTCGTTCCTCCTCTTCCTCCTCCCTCCCCCTCCTCCTCCCCCTCCTTCTCCTCCTCCTCCTCCTGTCCTCCTCCTGCTTCTCCTCCTCCACTTCTCCTCCTCTCCTCCTCTCCCCTCCTCCTCCTCCTCCTCCTCCCCCTAGCCCGCCTCCTTTCTCCCTCCGCCCTCCTCCCTCCTCGCGTCCCTTCTCGCCCTCTCGCCCTTCTCGTCGTCGTCTCGTCGCGTCGTCGTCGTCGTCGTCGTCGTCGTTCTCGTCTTCCTCCTCCTCCTCCTCCTCCTCCTCCTCCCTTCTACCCCTTCCTCCTCCTCCTCCTCCTCCTCCTCCTCCTCCACCTCCTCCTCCTCCTCCTCCTCCTCGCATCATCGCCGAGTGTCCCCTGGGGGCTTGGCGGGCGACGGGCGGCGTCCCCCGCCCAGGACAGCCTGCGCGTCCACGCCGGCCAGCAGGAGAGCCCGCCCCCGCGGGAGGGTAGGGCCGCTCTGCTCGGCTCTCGCCTCGCATCTCCCTGCCTGCCCTGGCCGTGCCCTGCTTGGCCTGTGCCCTGGCCGTGGCGGGACTAGCCTTGCATTGCCTTGCCTTGCTGCCTACCTCTCTCTTTCTATGGATATACCCATACGACCGCCCTGCGGGCGATAAGGGGGTTGGGGGGGATTGAGATCAGATGCCCACCCTGACTGACCTCCAGCCTGTCACCTTGATCTCATCTCTCTCTTTCTCTCTGTCTCTCTCTCTCTGTGTCTCTCTCTCTCTCTCTCTCGGACAGGCACATAACTACACTTTGGGCGAGTGGATTAGTTTCTTGCGCGGATCTCCAAATTCCACATTTAGTTTTGCGACATCGTCTTACGTATTGGTTCGCCCGCCATTCGAGGGCGCCGATCGCGCCTGTCGGATTTACCAGGGCTGCGACTTCGTTTGCCACTGTCAGTGTGGAATCAAGACTTGCGCTTCACGAGTGGATTGGAGGATGAGCGCAAGGTGGGTCTATCAGCTGCGGGGGGGCGCGGGCGTTTGCCGCCACGCAGGTGCCAGGGGCAATTGGGAAACGCGCAGGGAAATGGAGGCCGGCAGGTAGAGGAAGAACGGGGGAGGGGGAGGGCAAAGCAGCGGGTGGGAATGGGGAACATAGTGACCAGGCGAGGTGTTCTGATAGGGGGGCGATGTGGGCGGAAGTCGCAGTTAGAATTCCTCCGGAAAGCCCTGGGACGTTCAGACACCTCCGCCCGGAGGCTGGCAGGGGGTTCAGCGGCCCTTGCATTCCTGACTTTGCGGGCGGGGCGCGACGACGCACCCGACCTGTACCCCGTCCCTTTCGCTATGTGCCGGTCTGTACGTGCTCGCCCCGTGCGAGACATCCAGCACGTTCAGAACTACACTTAGCCAGACACTAGGTGTAGTTCTGTACGTGCTGGTTTCGCCAGAGACATCCTCACAAAACGGAGCACTTATAGAACTACGCCTAGCCAGCGGGGCGGGGTGCATGTCGGGTGCCGCCATTTGCGCTCCCGACGTGTACCGCACCCCGGCCGCTAAGTGCCGTTCTGCACGCGTCCCTTTTTCGCGAAGCATCGGCTGCTCGCGCTGCCCATCGCCGAGGCCCCGTCCCTTGGGCCGCTTCCCACCGACATCCCACATCCCCTGGCTCAGCGAAACCAGCCGTATGCCTGGGGGCCTCGACCTCGCGCAGCCCGCTTCCCTCCCCCGCCCGTGCCCCAGCAACAAATTCGTCATCCGATCCCCCGCGCTTTCGAGTTTTTCTTCGTGCCGGATTCCCCTTCCGAGGGTCAAACGGTTGTTATTGTTATGATTTTTCTTGAGGCCGCCGCCAAGCTTCGCCGTGAAACGTGGTGATCGCTTCCACGCTTGGCACGCAACGTCGTCGGCACGACCATCGCCTTCCATCGTAGGTCGTGAAGCGGTGTCCGTCCACAGAGACAATGCGACGCGCCAAATCTAACTATGATTGCCGCACCTGGTCCCCGCAACAAGGTGCAGTTTTGCTGCGTGGAGTTGTAGATGTGTTCGACTCTCTCTCTCTCTCGCCCTCTTTCTCTCTCCCTCTCCTATGAGAGTCTCCAGATAGAACTGAATTGGGTTGGGATTGGGTTGGGTTGGATTGTACTGCGTGGGATAATATGGATTGGATAAGATAGGATGGGTTGGATTGGAAGGGATGGATTGGATAAGACAAGATGGATTGGATTGGCCCGCCGCAGGCGCAAAAACAAATGAATTGATGGATTGGGTTGAATGGATTGGATTGGGTGGGATAAGATAAGACGGGACAATATGGGTTGGACAATACAAGATGTATTGTATTGGACCATATGGATTGGATAAGATAAACTGGATTGGATAAGAAAGCCCGCCGCAGGCGCCGACAAAAATGAATTGATGGATAGGGTTGGGTGGATTGGATTGGATGAGATAATACGGAGTGGATCAGATAAGAAGGGTTGGATTGGAATAAGTGGATTAGATAAGATGGATTGGATTGGCCCGCCGCAGGCGCATAAACATATCAGTTGATGTATTGGATTGGGTTGATTGAGTTGGGTGGGATAAGATAAGATGGGACAGGATGGTCTGGATAAGATAGAATGGATTGGATTGGACAATATGTATTGGGTCAGATAAGCTGGAATGGATAAGAGAGCCCGCCACAGGCGCCGAACAAACATGAAATATGATACTAGCGACATGCGTTAGCGCCGGGACGCCCGGGACACCCAGGACACCCTGGACACCGCTCGGCCCAACTGGGACACCTACCGGCCACCGGCGGACGGGAAACGGATTTTCGCTCCTACTGACACCCAGGACACCCGGGACACCGCCCGGCCCAACTGGGACACCCCCCAGCCACCGGCGTACGGGAACGGACTTTCGCTCCTACTTTGGCCTAGCTACAGGAGGATCACGCGCAGCTTCGCCTCGCCCGCACGCACGACACGAACACGAAAACGAAACCGATTTCCCGGTGGGGGGCTTCCGTTTCACTGCGATCTTTCCCCCAACCTCCCATAATATATATATATATATATATTTATTTGTCCCACTCTCTCTCTCTCTCTCTTTCTCTCGCTTTCTCCCCGACGACGACGACGACGCGTGCGTGGACACTTTTGGCATCCGTCCCCATGCGGTGTAACTCCGAGCAATGGGGAGGAGGAGGGAGGAGGGAGGATGGAGGAGGGAGGAGGGAGGATGGAGGAGGAGGGAAGAGGAGGGAGGAGGGACGAGGAAAGAGGGAGGGAGGAGGGAGGGAGGAGGGAGTTTGGAGGAGGAGGAGGAAGAGGAGGAGGAGGAGGAGGCAGGAGGCAGGGGAGGAGGGAGGGAGGAGGGAGGAGGAATAAGGGAGGAGGGGGGAGGAAGGAGAAATGAGTAGGAAAAGGAGGAGGAGGATAACGAGGAGGAGGAGGAGAAGGAGGAGAAGGAGGAGGACCAGTGTAAACCCAATATCCATCAATGATGATGCATAAAACCCTTCCTCCAAGTTCCCTCTGCATAGGTTCCCACAAGGTTGCATTTTCACATCAGTCCTGGGATTTCAACGCCGCGAATCAACTTTGCCGTTGCGTCCAGAAGATCCAGAATCGCGCCAGAATGCCATTCCTGAGACTTCAACACTGCGAATCAACGTTACTGTTGCGCCCTGACAGTCTTAAGTCGTGACAAAGGACGGTTTTTGGCACGTCAACCATCAGAATCTTCGAAACTGTTGTTGTAAACTCTTAGGACGAATGTGCGCGGCGCTCCAGCGGGAACCACATTTTGAAAACCAGCCGCCCTCCATCCGTGAAATTCTTGCAGAACTTTAGGGCGAATGTGCGTGGCTCTAAGGCGAGAGCCACATTTTGAAAATGGCCCGCCCTCCATCCGTGAAACCCTTGCAAACTTGAAAGACTAATGTGCGCGTCGCGCAGGCGATAACCACATTTTGAACGCGGCCCGCCCTCAATCCGTGAAACTTTTGCAAGTGTTTAAGACGAAT